ACCGGCCTGGCCCCACTCCCCCAGGGGCAACACGCCGTCACTGCCCAGACCACAGGGGAGTGGGAACACCCCAAACCCTGAACCGATTCCGGGTGCACGTGAGCAGGACGCGGCCCCACAGTGCCCGGGGCAGTTTCTGCTGTCACCTCCTGCTCACCCCAGGGTGCTGGGTACACGGTGAGGATGAGGGGTGCCTGCACTGAGGTATCTCCCCCCTGACAGTGCCTGTGTCCTTCCCACAGCACAGGGCCACCAAAGCAGTGATGTGCCTGTGACCCTTGGGTCTGAGCACCACATCAGAGGGTCAAAACTGTTCCCATGCAGCCACCCCACCTTGTCCCTGTGCTGGAGGACCTGCTGTGGCTGAAACTCCCCATCCCTTCCCAGCTGTGGGGGAAGAGCAGAGGGGCTTCACCAGGGTGGGACATGACACAGCATGAGGGATGGGGTTGCTCCAGGACCCCCATAGGGATGCTGGCCCCGCTCCATTGCTGTCAATAAACACCAGTAGGCGGGTTGCCCACCACAAGAATGCAAGCTGAAGTGTGGTGGTGCCGGCACCCCGAAAGAGGGTGATTTGCCCCTTCCTCAGCCATGAGTCAGGTTGTGGCCACTGCCCCATGGGCCGGTGCAGCCTGTACTTTGGGTAATTTGGGATGACAGAGCCAGAACGCGGCGTGTGGGACTCTGATTGCAGGGTCGGGGGCTGTGGCGCTTTGCCCTCCCCATCTCATCCCATCCCTGCCCAAGTAGCCCCTACCCCAGGGGTATCCCCACTGCCCCATGCACCTGCCTGTGGTATTCCCCTCTTCCCCTGCTCCACAGCACTATGCAGCGGTACTGCCCCCTGCTCCACAGCCCTGCCTGAGGTATCCCCATTGCTCCACAGCCCTACCTGCAGTACCCCCCCCCACACTCCTGCCTGGGGTATCCCCATTGCCCACCAGCCCCTGCAGCTGTGCGTGTCCATGTAGCAGCGGGCGCATGTGCTGGTGTGCGCGCCGTGGGGTGTGAACGCCGTGGGGTGTGCACGTCGTGGGGTGTGCTTGCGTGCACTCGTACTGCTG